CTTATAATTAGCATTTAAATCTTTAAATTTAATGTAAAGTTTATTAAAAGCATCTAAAAGTTCTAAAGAATCATTTACTTCGTCTTGTGCCATGAAACACATATGTGCTGATTCTTCTCTCTTCTTCTTCGTCTGAAGATGATGAATCGTCGCTGTCATCCCAAGTCACCACCATAGCCTTCTTCTTCTTTTTGAAGTTGTCAGAATTGTTAGTATTTGTGGTCTTTGACTTTTACTTGAGTAGCAGACAATCCTTCTTTATATGACCTGGCTAATTACAATTGAAACACAAAGAAGAATCGTTAGTATTCTTAAATTTATTTGACTTGAACTTAGCTTTGTTAAGAAATCTTTTGAATTTCTTAGTTATCATTGCAATATCCTCATCATCTTCATCAGATTCATCCGTGTCGGAGGATGCATTGAAGGCAAGTATCTTTTTCTTCTTTGGTTCATCGTCCTTTTTCCGATCTTTAATTTGAACTTCATATGCCATTAAGTTTCCAATAAGATTCTCTACGATGAGTGTTGATAAATCATTTGCTTCCTCTATCGCCGTAGTCTTTTTCTCCCATTCCGGAGTTAGTGCTCTTAGGATTTTTCTTACCATCTCAACTTGAGTATATCCTTTACCAAGTCCAATTAAAGAGTTAGTAATATCGGTGAACCTTATGAACATCTCAGTGATGGTTTCATTTTCTTTCATCTTAAACAATTCAAATCTGTGAACAAAAATAGAAAATTTAGTTTCCTTAACTTTATTTGTTCCTTCATGTGTTACCTCAAGAGTGTGCCAGATTTGATGTGTTATTGTAAAGGTTGACATCTGATTGAATTCGTTCTTGTCCAAAGCACAAAATAACAGTGTTTTCAAAGGCGTGCGTCTCATTGCGCCTCATGCACCTTACGATGCGGGGCGGTGGCGAATCGCCCCACATCTAATGCAGCAGCGCCTTTTGCACCTCGTGTACATCCTTACTTTGTGCAGGGTGCATGTAGTACATATCCTCATATACTATTGTTTGTTAACATTTCAATCGAGTCTTTATACTTGATATTTCATATCCCAAGAAGCAAAATAAATCCATTAAGCCTTTTTAATAGCCTTCAATTGAGAACCATTACTAATCATTTGCTTGGATATTAGTCTTGATTTAACATTTGATTTGAAAATTTATGAATTTTGCTACTATGTTGGGTGTTAGCATTAGAAATTAAGGTATTATATTATGATTTTGAGTAAGATATTATTTATCTTGATATTTTTTATGTAAATTCTAAAAACATGTTCTTTCGCACTTGATTACATATATTGAAAAATTATGTGTGCGGTGTGCGTCTCGCATCACTCGGGCGTGCGCATCACGTTGCGCTTTGCGCATGTGCGCGGAAAGATGCTTTGTGCCTCGCATTACGCCTCGCGCATTGACAACACTGCAAAATAGTGCATTCATCGCCTTTGAGTCCAGATTGACGTTTGTCCTTTGTACAATCGTCCATTCAATGTAAGGATTAGTAGGCTTTGTGAATTTATTCTTAACTATGTTTCATAGATCATATCCAAGGGATTGAAGGTATATCTTCATTCTGCACTTCCAATAATTGTAGTCTGTGCCATCGAATAGAGGTGATCGCTGTGTGGAATGTCCCTCTTTAAATTGTGAAGTGTTTGTTGATGAACTTGATGATGTCATCTTTTACCGTGCTATGATACCAATTGTAGGATCTGTTACAATGCTCACTAAAATACTAGAGGGGGGTGAATAGTGTTCTTTTTAAAAATTATGCAAAATAGATTATAAATTGCAATGAATATAGCAAAATCATAGAGAATCACAATCGCAAATACAATATTTTATACTGGTTCCACCTCCCCGGTGGACATCCAGTTCCTAAGCAAATCCTGCTTGAGAGTTCCACTATGATTTTGAAAAACGTACAAAACCAAACAGCAAACCTGACCAATTTGTAAGTCCCTGCAAATTGCACACAATCTCTTCACTAAAATATTACACCTCTCACACTCGTGAGAACAATTGCCTTGTAACAACTCTATTTCTATAAGCCTTGAGTGTATTGTGATGTGTAACAGTGGCTTAGGAACATTTTGAATCTCTGAAAATTGCCTAACTTGAATGTATATTGAATGATGATCAAAGGCTAACTCAGAGAATGCTTTTTCTCAACACTTAGTGAAAATCTAGAAATTTTAACTCTTAAGAATGCACAAAATTTGAATCTTATAGATAGGAATCAATGATCCAAATTTCTGAACTTGTAACCTATTTATAGCTATTGAAAAGACAAGTTTTCAAACTCTAAAAAACGTATACAAAACGGTTATAAACAATCACTTATTCAAAATCTGAAATGTCAGAAAACTGTCTTAGTAGTCGACTAGTAGTCGTTATAGTCGACTACTCTGACTTCAAACAACTTCTGTAATTTTATGATTTTTCTTAGTAGTCAACTACTATAGCCATTAGTCGACTACTCTGTAGATACAAAAAGTCTGGAATTCAAATTTGAAGCTTAGTAGTTGACTATAATTCTTAGTAGTCGACTACTCTGTAAAAGCAGATAATCTGGAATTCTAAATTAGATCTTAATAGTCGACTATAATGCCTAGTAGTTGACTACTCTGTATTTTTACAGAATCTAAGTTTTTATCTAAGTCTTTATTAGTCAACTATAATCAATTGTAGTCGACTAATCTGTAATATTTTAGAAACTTATATTTTGATCTACGACTTCAGTAGTCGACTACTAATCTAATTAGTCGACTACTAAGGGGTAAAAAAGTTATGTATGAAATATTTTTAGACTCATTGATTAACAAAATACTCTAATGGTTAATATAGGGAATTTTTATTGTTAACCAATACACTAAACATGTGTTAGTGTGTTCTAATCTCTGTGTGTGTATGTGTGAGTGATCAAGGTTTGTACAAATTTTCTAAGTAAAGAAAATGTAAAAATTACATTGATATATAAGCTCTTCATCTTCTTTACTTAAAAATTACATTGATATATAAGCTCTTCATCTTCTTTACTTCATGATGCCTTGAACTCATCTTGCACTTGTTCATGTTGATAGCTGTTCATGATGCCTTGAACTCATCTTGCACTTGTTCATGTTGATAGCTGCATTGAAATGTTAGTGCACAATTATACATATAGTGATTCATATTATAAATAAATTGTTATTATCAAAATTATATTATAGGGACATGATATCCAACACACTACCTAACCTCCCCTCCTACCAAACCAAGCCTAATTAGTACTACTATATTTTCTGATGCTCATTACTATTTGAACATGAGTTGGTTGTTTTATCAACCATCGTGTGATTTTCTTCCAATAAATATTTTTTTTCAGTTGTAGGTCCATTCTGATAACTGTGGCTATGCATGTGCTTACCTTATACGCGTGAGACTCCATAAATTTAATCGTGAATAAACTAGATTTTTACAGTTTGTAGCTTGAGTTTTCGTCCTTTTTTGAGGTAACTTAGCATAATGGCATGATAATTCAATACTTCGAGATACATTGCACTTAGTTGATGGTGCTTATGTTTTAGTGGCTATGCATCATAGTCACAATTGCTTAGTTTCCTTTAGCCTACCAATGTGACTTTATCTCAAATAGCCTCTGACATGAGGTACTTCCTAAATCCATCTGATCATGTGTAAACTAGATTTATTTGCAATATGTAACCTTAGTTTATCATCCTTCTCTTTTCCAAGTTCAAAACTTAGCGCTATTATCAGATGATTTGCTACTAAAGGATATATTTGACATAGTTCAGGAGCGACGTATCTCACCCTGTTTGCATTGCTGCATAATAATTATGATGTTCCTTATAATATCAATAATCAAGGCAATCTATGGAGTAAGTACTCGTACTCCTGGTGGAGACCATAATGAAAGTGAATCCAATTAGTATTATCTTCTAAGTGAATGTGCTAAAATCACCATCTCCACCAGGGATATGCATTATCTGGTGGAAAGGTTATTCCTTTTTGCCGCCACCTTAATGTGCTGAAATCCATTTGGTATTTTCATTTCTGTAAGATCAGATGTATTATTTGGAGGAGATACACCTTTTGTACCAATTGAAGAGGAGACGGATTTTTGTTCTTTGAGTTTGAAGCACTTGGATGCATATTATTTTCAACTGAACAGGTTCATGAAGAGGTAGGAATTTGAACCAAAAAAGTAGGGTCTTTTTCAATATTGCTTGGTCTATATATCACCTTATGTTGGTGTTGTATACAAAGATTTCATTCAGTAGGCTTCTAAGATTTCAATTTTCAAATCCATTTGAAAGACATTGACAGTCACTAGCTTATGAGGGGCTAATACCTAAAAGTTGTAATGAAATGATACTAACTTGTGAGCTTAAGCTAGAAATGGAAAACATCCTCTAGCATGTGGGACAAAGAGGTGTTAGTGTCTGCGCGTGCGTGTACTTGTGTGTGAGTGCCTGTGTTCGTATCTTTTCGTGGCTGGGTGAATTTTGGGTCGGGAGGTTAGGTGCAGGCAGGCAGTGTATGGCTGTATGATTGTGTTGGAATAATCAACTTTAGCATTTATGGAGGTCACTTTGGTTAGAAAAAACTGGATAGTACGTGAAAAGATTGAACTTGGATTTCACATCAGAAGATTTCGCAATATATGTTCTAGTCTTAACCTTTTCTTTCATTTGTGCATGAGTAAATACTTTTGTCTTCGAGGAGTATGTTCATGCAAATTTAGATTATTTATATTCTAGTGGGTGGATCTGACAAATCCCTGCTCTTTAGTTGCTTATACTTTATGCAATAAGATTTTGCTATCATTTAAAGGTTATACAATGATATTGTGCAAACCTTCATTAACTGTTTCATATATTATTTTTTTCTTCAATTATCTGTCACATAGATTTGTTATTTCCTTTCATTCAGATATCGGCCTGCTATAGATACACCATAATCTACATTTTCTCTTGCTAATAGGAAAACAAGATGCAAAAATACCTTGCAAGCATATCCATATTGATGGGTCTTCTCTGTTTGTATTATCAGAATCGTTCCGCTGGAGGATCCATTGACAAAAATAAAGCACTTGTTGCGTATTTAAAGCAAAATGGCACAATCAAGTCGAAGAAAGTTGCAGAAGTAATGGAGACCATTGATAGGGGTCTGTTTGTACCCAAAGATGTCCTGGCTTATGTTGATAGCCCTATGGCAATAGGTTTCAGTGCAACTATATCTGCTCCACATATGCATGCAGCTTGTCTAGAACTGCTGGAGGATCATCTGAAACCGGGCATGCATGCCTTAGATGTTGGCTCAGGTCTTTTACCTACTCTTTTCCCCCTTTTATTGTTTATCCAAATTTATTTCTAGAGAACTGATGAGCTTATCTGCCTGTTTCATTTACCTTCAGCTAATGATGCTCATATTAGTTTTACTCGAGCATATCAGAAAGCTAGCTGTGAATAGGACATCAATAGGTTGTGCATTCAGGTTGTCGCTGGTTCCATGGGTTGTGCATTCAGGTTGTCCCTGGTTGATTTGGTATCTACGTCTTAAAGTAGCTGTTAGAAAACTTACAATATTATAGTGCAAACTGTTTTGTACGAATTCATGCTGCTTTATGTCATTAACTCAAGTCCACTAGTAATCGCTATATCCAGACCCTTATGCGTGTATCACATGTATCAGAATCAGGTCAATCTGTCCTAATTGATGTGACCTATCTTAGCCCTTTATCATATTCCAATGATATTAATGGGGCTATTAGCTAGACCAAACAACCACTGACATACATTGTATGGCCGAGCCAGGTCGTAGGATAATTAGGATTTAGGGTATATGAGAATCTTCCACAAGATATCAACCTTAGACTGTTTTTTACAAATGAACTGCTGTTCCACGCATGATAATCTTTGATCAGGAGTCTTGATTGTTTGACTCTTGACTTTGATGATCTTCAATTTTCTTCCATCTCCAATTAGGCTTTAGCTTCATCTTAAATGTTTGAGCTTGATCAGCCCTCCGGCAGCTCCTAATTTTTTTCTCCATATTTCACTTAAAGAGAGATACTAGCATAACGTGTATAAAGTATAAACTCAACGTCTGGTCATTTCATCAAAACAGGATCATATGTTAGGTTTCTAACAGAATTTTAAAACAGGCAATACTCATAATGCCATATGCATTTGGGATTCTTAAATATAAAATGTGTGGTCATAGAAGTATGTTTGTTTCAATGTTCTTAATTATATCACAACCTTCATGAACAACAAAGCCTTTTACCTTGGCTCCGTGAATTTTCTGAAAGCTCTCAAGGACCATCTTCTCTGTTAAATTGATAATTACATATCTTTTATAATTATAACCTCCCTGTACATTTTGATTAAGGTCAACCCCTAGTTTGCCCTGCAATGTTAACTGCTCCTATGTGTAACTAGCATGCTTATTGGTCTAGTCTCTTTTCACCATCCAAAACCATACGTATTGGCTCTTCTCATTTTTACTCAATGGAAGCTAGCCTCTTAGTTCCTATAGATGTAATAATTTCTCATTCTATCTTTGGTAGATCCCCCATAATAGAACAGAACGGAAGGATAGGATTCATGTAGCCGACTCCAAACAAGGTCTTTATTGTCGTTGTTGTATCTTTAGCAAATTACTGCTCATTCATATCAAACATTGTCATTGAGCTGCTCACTTTTATTGGACAGTTCTTTTAGTTGTCCAACATGCTGAGTCCCGAGTCTAAAGCTGGTTGAATGTTACATATTTGAATGTTCCTCTATATATTATTTCTTCCTAATATACTGTTGATTTATTGCCTTTATGCAGAGTTATGCTCATCTATTTTAGCTATTGTAATTTGAAAAAACTATTAAATTATGACTTTCTAAAATAATTTCTATGTGTATAAGATTTTTTTAAAAAAATCCCCTGTAACAATTTGCATAAAAAATATGGTTGCGTTTTGTTGACCTTGTGTAGGAACTGGGTACTTGACTGCATGTTTTGCTATGATGGTTGGACCACAAGGCCGTGCAGTGGGTGTCGAACATATCCCCGAGCTGGTTGCTTCTTCCATTGAGCATATCAATAAAAGTGCAGCATCCTCGTTGTTGAAGGATGGGTCACTTTCTGTGCATGTTGCTGGTATGTTCCTGAATGACTGACCTTATTATTTCTTGTGACATTCATATCAAATGCTTAGTGATAGAAAGTGATCTCTGCTTATGTGTTTAAAGTTAATAGTTTTACAATGCTGTTGCATTTGCGTGATGTTGAGAAATAGAAAAAGGTCTAGATATATTATTCATTTAACTCTAACCTCTTTTAAATAAAGGTTAGGAGGATATTACAAAAGAGGTATGAGATAAAATCATATCCAGTTATATCTCCCAATATCTCAATAACATCTCATAATATATTCCTTAACGCTCCCCCTAACAATATCTCATACTTTGAGATTTTGAAAAAAGGTCAAGATATATTATTCATCTAAATCTAACCTCTGTTAAATAGAGGTTAGGAGGATATTACAAAATAGGTAAGAGATAAAATTATTTTCAATCATATTTCCCAACATCTTATAATATATTCCTTAACACTCTCCCTCAAGCTGGAGCATGTATATTGTTGATGATCGATATCAAACAGCCGATTAATCCAGAAGAGGATGGTTAGTGGGTGATGAAGGATGATGGAGGGCTCGCTCCTTTCTTCGACTTTATGACTGGTTCTTGAACGAGGGCTCGATGTCCACACTGCGCAGATAAGAAAAAACCGTAAGAGGACGGGGACCGGTTCTCCCGTGGTTCCTCCGACGGTCAAGTTAGTGAAACTCGAGTGGGGAAGAGGAAGATCAAGAACCAATGTGGCTCTTAAGGTGGTAAGGTGCATGCCCAGAGGGTCTATGTGAGCTCCTCTGTCTGGACGAAGAACCGTGTGTTCTTTTTGTGTCATCTATGCTTTAGGGGGTTTTAGATTGCGAACCTCTTTTTGCGCTATGGCGAATAGCATTTGTATATAAAGAGGATGATTCTCCGCAGATTGATCTGTTCGGCCATGCAAAATGGCGGTCACTAAATGTGAGCTGGAAGGTGAGTCATCCCTTGCTTTACAAGTGTCGACTGACGACCAGAGGGGAAGTCACTTCGGCATGGGAGAGAGCGTCTCCGTATTTTTCGAAAAGTGATTGATAGCGTGACAGGAGGCACGTGGGCATACTGAATCATTCCTCATTTTATAAGTGTCGGCTGATGACTGAAGGGAAAGTCACTTCGGCATGAGAGAGGACGTCTCCATATTTTTCGGGAAGTGATTGAGCTGACAAGTCATGGAGATCTATCAGGCCAAAATCTAGATAAGACTTGTCCGAGGTGGACGGGAATGTCGACATATGCTCTGGGATAGAGGCTTGGAGCTGAGGTCGAATTCTCAATTTAATTGGTAGCAAGAGATGTCCCTCCAGTTACTTCTGAGAATTGCCCAGTGAGTGGTCGAGTGCCCTAAGTAGGGACGTCATTAATGATGGGGTCGATCGACACCGTCTTTCGCGTCGACTCAGGAATGTTGACATGTCTGACTGGTTGGAATGTCATCTCGTCTCAGCTAATAACCGTCTCTTGAGTCGATATAAAGATGTCGACTCGTATGGGAGGTCAGGATCTCTCGTGTCGACCAATATCGTCTTTGGTGTCGACACCAGAGAGTCGACTTGATAAGTCGGTGGGGGTCGAGTCCCCTGTGATTGTGCCTTGGGTTTACCCCTGATAATGTACCAAAATCTTGTAATTAGCCATGATAGTCGAGTTGCACCAGAGGATTCGACCATCTATCGCACCTTGGGTTTACCTTGATAAAGAGCCAATGACTTGTTTATTCGACTAAGGAATCAAATGTCTAGAATTTTTGAGAGTTGACTAGGGCTCTCCTTCTCCTAAGGTCGAGAGACGACTGTGGGAGTCGGCTAAAGGGTTGAGTTTGTTTTGCTAGGACTCTGAGAGTTGACTAGGTCTTGTTCTGATTATATCATTTTGCAAATATCTGTATCTTAGGTGAGTGAACACCATAACATATATCATACATATTTAGCTTATTATAAATAAAGTGCACACTTTAATTTGTGACGATGTTTTAAAAAACTCAAAAATAGTCTTGATCTTTTATCTTTCACTTGATATATTTAAACCAGCTGATCCCTTCCGGGACTTCACTGATCAAATGATCCTTTTCAGGATCTAACAACAACTGATCCTTTTCAGGATCCAACAATAAATAATCCTTCCTTGAAGGATCCAAAACAATAAATGATCATTCTTTAAGGATTTGATAAATAAATGATCATTCCTTGAAGGATCTAACAACAAATCATCCTTTTTTAAAGATCTAACAAACAAATGATCCAAGAGGTGGAGTTGACTTTGGGTTCAAGCAAAGATCAATATGGTCAATGAGGCACATGTCGATGAGGAGCGAAATTGGCTTCGATCGGAGTGGATGGTGAACAATAATCTGTGCGGCGAACAGTAATCCGCGGATATGAACAAAGCGACATGGGACGAACAGTTCAGATGGATAGAAAGCCATTGGATGAACAGTAATCCGATGAACAGTACTTGTTAAACAATAGCCGGTGGATAGTAATTCGATGTCAAGGCTGCTGAGGGGAAGCACAAAGTTTTCAACAAAAAAAACCCCTGGCATCTCCATGTAGACGATGAAGAAAGTGGTCTCTTTAGGATCAAGAGGATGGATTTGATACCATGTAGAAAAATAGAAAAAAGGCCAAGGTATATTTCATCTAACCCTAACCTATCCTATATAGAGGTTAGGATGATATTACAAAATTGGTATGAGATAAAATCATATCCGGTCATATCTCCTAATATCTCATAATATATTCTTTAACACGGGTCAAATTCCTACGGCAATCAAAATGTCTAGGCACTAGGCTGTTTATGTAGGATTATTAGAGTGATCCAACATTTTAACTGATTTTATTTTGCGCATATATAAAGTTACAGCACAATCAAGTCTGAGTTATCAGTCAATGTTGTATTATGTATGATGTAGAGGAGTAGCTCCACATTCTGTGGTAAACATAGGATTGTTGTAGGTATAAATGGTCTATGTAGCACGGATACGGATCCGACACGGCCATCCGACACGCCGACACGAGGCAAATCCTAAAAAATACATAGGATACGTGTGTTCGACACGTGTGTCCGACACGGACACGGACACGACACGGCTTCATGTTATGCGTGTCCGTGCTTCATAGTAAATGGTAACAAACATAGGATTGTTGTAGGTATAAATGGTCTATGTAGCACGGATACGGATCCGACACGGCCATCCGACACGCCGACACGAGGCAAATCCTAAAAAATACATAGGATACGTGTGTTCGACACGTGTGTCCGACACGGACACGGACACGACACGGCTTCATGTTATGCGTGTCCGTGCTTCATAGTAAATGGTAACAAGAATACATCTTCGTGTATATGTTATCAGCATATGGACTCAGAAACTGATCCATGATGATTGTCATAGATTATCACTTATTCAAACTTGTAGCTGCTGCAGAGTTTGGGAAGCCTAAAAATTAGCAATCTATATTAAAGATTAAAAGAAATTTGGCTGTGTTGAAGGCTAAACATTTATTTATTTGGTTTTTTTGTTTGTGTGAGTGAGCGTGTTTGGTTTTATTTTTTTATTATTTTTTTGAAGGTTCTTGATTTTGTGTGGTCATACTTGGCTAAAAGCATGATGTTCTTTCACTTGTTTTAAGTGTATATTCACTTGTTTGAAGGCTCAGCTCACCTGTATAATCTTATTTATTAAAAAATTAATTATATCTATGTTATGTCAAAGTCTTATATGTTAACTACTGGCTGAGTGCAGATGGAAGGCTGGGTTGGCCTGAAGCTGCTCCATATGATGCCATTCATGTGGGAGCTGCAGCACCAGAGATCCCTCATGCATTGATTGAGCAACTAAAGCCCGGAGGCAGATTGGTGATCCCAGTCGGCACCTTGATTCAAGAACTGAAGGTGATCGACAAGAAGGATGATGGCTCTATCACTGTCAGAAATGAACTACCTGTCCGATATGTACCCCTTACAAGTAGAGAAGCTCAGCTACATAATTAAATCTTAAGCTCCTTTAGGTTATTATCTAGTTGGTGAACTTTCATAAAGAGGCATTCACAAGGACACTTGGTAATTATTTTAGGGTAAATTGCGGGTAATTCCTTTATCTAGACCTTTAGTAGCATTTAATGGTAATAAAAGAGTTTTTGAGGGTGATAAATGCTACTGAAGATGTAGACAAAGGGGGTTAGTTGCAACCTGCCCATGATTACTTCTCCTCAATGGCATTATCGAGTGTCCGATGTGGAACATACAAGTGTGCTATTGTAACGAGTGTAAGAAAATGATACAAATACCGTCATAATCTGGGATCTTAAGCACTGATGTCTGTATGTATAGCGATATTTATCCTGAAAATGCTCAGGTTAGGTATCATAGTGTTTCAAGGCCTTGGCTTTCTCAGCGTTTGGTGTGTGCCTAAAGAATGAACTGTGGACAGGGGGATGGCAAGGTATCTCAAGCACCTACTTTAGGTAGAGCAGGTGATGATGTTCGATGTGAATTTGGCTGGCGGTGTTGTTATCCATGGATTCTGCTAGATTTTGGCAGGTAAACATGGTTTTTATTGGTTGGCGTATTTAGATGCGGCAATGTGACGAACCTTTTGGAAGGTTTAATCTTCATATACTTTTTGAGTCGTAATAATAGCTATAGGCCAAGGAGGGTCGATAATCAAATGTGTATCAGTCTTTGCTCTGCTTTTCTTCGGCAGCAGTGTTAACATCGCCAGTTCAATCTTGGGCGCACTCATGAGTTTATTTCCTTGCTTCAAACTGTATATTATATGTTTTTTGTTTAGACTTGGATGGTCCATCTTCGTTATTAATCAACTATCAGCTCCATAAATTTCTTCAATCTTTTGCCCAGTTTGTGAAGTTCTTGGAGGAAAATATTTCTTCCGGTCATAATAAATATTACTTACAATTTTTATGTTTTCCTTTGGATATGTGTCACGTGATGATTTCCCATTTTAGGCGTGTTTATGGCTGTAAGGTTCTTTCTTTTGGGAGGATTTGAGGCGTTTTGATTTGAAAGCTGTCACAATTTTGACAAAAGTTAGAATTGTGGCGGAGTTTCCCCTTCCAAAAACTCAAAACAAACGGGTCCTAAATGGGCGGAGAAATTATATTGTCTTACCGGTACATTGCATCCGAACAGGAGAGAGAAAATTGCAGTACATTTTGATAATTCCTCATTTAGGATTCTAGGGCCCACAATATTATCTCTTTGTGAGCAGACAATTATGATCCAAGTACCACCCGCAGGTGGGACAACCGGTTAGCACTCCCCATGGAGTAAGAGATTTCCTCAAGCTTCGTGCCCGTTGCGGCTGGGTTCGAATCCTCGCTACCGCATTCACCTGGCTCCTGTGGGTTTAAGGGTGGGGACATGATCCCGGGGTTTTACTGGTCACTCAGGTTCAGCCCGTTGTATGCTCACCAGGTCGCGTCCTTGTGGTCCACTGCCTGTTCGCCCACACTGTGGGGATGAGCCCCTGGTAGCAAGGGTAGCTCTTTGCAGGAAATTGGGGACCACGGGGAATCAATCAAGGGCCGCTGGCAGGACTCCCAAAGGGAGTAAAATTGAGCTGGGGTGACCAGGTTTCCCTTGCCAGCAAAAAAAAAAAAAAAAAAATGATCCAAGTACCTAGCAAATTCCTTATTCAGAGAGGCAATGGCAAAGCATTTGCCAAATTATCACCTCCACCGGTTACATGCATCGCATTCAATTAGTGATACTGTTACAGTGTCTTTGTTTCAGTTCCCCAGTTTCAACGGCAACCGTTACAGTTGCAAGCTAATCAATGGCAATTAAAAACTCGTCAGCCATCACTAATAAATTTCAACTGTAAATCTACTAGACCCACATCGATCCCATCAATCCTTCCTTCTGGTCTCAGCCCCTCTCACGTTGCAGAGAAGGACACCATATTTGTGGATTATAACATTTATGTACCTTTTGTTAATCAACAATAGGAATGTTAGCCCAAATATTTTAATGAACTTTCTCATCCTAAAATTTGGTTAATTATAGACCTAAGCTTGCCTGAATCAACCAATCCCTAAAGTACCATGTTTAACCTAGCATTCAACATACTTTCAACAAAGTAACACCAGTTGCTTGTTGATTCAACAGGAGATAGCAAGTAACATGCTATTTTAAGATAAAATAGAGCACTTAAAATGTCAAAAAAGGGCATATACACTGCAAAAGTGATGATACCTGAAAACTGGCCTAAACTATTTTAATCGAAAAAAATACCACAAGCATTTAAAAAATACCATATACTATCAGAAATTATCCTCACAACATTAAGAAGATATCCAAAAAGTCTAAAATACCCCTAAAGTTTAGTTGCTACGGAGAAAGTTTGGAGTTATTTTTCTTTCCTAAAAATGCAACGAAAGTGATATGAGTCGACCCCATTAAATTCAACATCAACTTTGCACTCTCATAAAACCTATATATGCCCACCCTGGGGTGTCCATTTGGGCTCAAGGGTCCCCGCGGGTTGGCCCGAAAATACGGGCCAAACGGCTTCCGTGCAGGTCCGAGCCATATCGTTGGCGTTCGCACCGGGCCTGGCCCGGGCCAAACAGTCGCATAAGTGACCGTTTCCCGGCAAATGCCGGGCCGGGCCAACCCGGCCCAGCCCTGTCATAACGGTCACAAGGTGACCGTTTTGGCCAGGCCGGGCCGGCCGCAACGGCCATAAACGGTCATTTTTTGTCTTTTGACCGTTTTGCCCCCAAAAACGGTCAAAAAAGGTAAAAATTTAAGGGTATTTTGGTTATTTGTCTAGGGACTGCCTCTATAATAGAAGGGGCTTTACTTGTTTTTCTCATTCAAAACTCATATACTTCTCTCTAATACTCTATTATACTCTCTTATACTCTCTAATAATCGCTTTAGCTCTCTAAGTATTCAATCAAATGGCTTCCTCATCTAATTATGAAGCGCAAAACCCAACTCCTAAAATGAGTCCTCCTACTACAGGAGGTACAGCTACTCCTCCTACTCCTAGCGATGTTGATCCTGAATCTGGTGGCGACGATTCTACTACACCAAGAGCTCCTAAAAGGCCGAGATCCAATGTGTAAAATTTTTTCGAGAAGATAGACATTACCAGGGATGAACACGGTAGGCTTCTCACCCAGAAGGCTAAGTGTGCGTTGTGCGGCCATATTTTTCAAGCTCATCATAAGAGCGGCACCAACCACCTCAAACGCCATTTAGATAGACACAACAAAGGTCAGACTCCTCAAGGTGATATCCGACAATCTATGCTCTCCCAATCCTCATCTTATGTAGTCTCGGTAGTTGGAATTATGACGCAGCCCGAGCCAGGAAATGCATCATCATGTTTATCATTCTTAAAAATCTTCCTTTTAAATTAGTAGAAGAAAATGAATTTAAAGATTTATTTACAGATGGTTTTTATCCCGCATTTAAAAATTTTCTCGTCAAATTTGTCAACGTGATATTTGAAAATATTATCAGGAGGAACAAGAAAAAATAATTTTTTATTTTTAAAGTTTATACTGTAAATTTTCTTTAACTTCTGATATTGGACATCTAAAGCACAAACTGGTTATTTATGTATCACAACACACTGGATTGATAAAAATTAGCAAATGTTGGACATCTAAAGCACAAACTGGTTATTTATGTATCACAACACACTGGATTGATAAAAATTAGCAAATGTTTAAAAGAGTTTTATGTATCACAACACACTGGATTGATAAAAATTAGCAAATGTTTAAAAGAGTTATTTCCTTTATTGCATTTGAAGAGTCACATACTGGCATTAATGTTGTAAATTTAATAATTGAAGAACTTTTAAAACTAGAAATATCAGAAAGAATATTTTCTCTTTTATTAGATAATGCAAGTAATAATAATATAGTTGTTGATTTTATCAAAACATCTCTATCATTGCCATGTTATGGTGATCTTTTTCATATTAGATGTATTTGTCATATTTTAAATTTAATTGTTCAAAGTACATTTGGTAAAATTAAACTCATGATAGAAAAGATAAGGTCAGTAACTTATGCTCATAATGCTTCTGAACAAAGAATTAGAAGATGAAAACAATTCTGTAAAAGAAAAAAAAATACAAAACCCAAACTAATTCCAAAAGATGTTGATCATAGGTGAAATTCCACCTATGTAATGTTAAGTGTAGCAATAGAATATAAAAAAATTATAAATAATTTTATTGCTTTTTATACTTCTAGTTCTAGCTCTGGTAGCATGTATGAAATAACTAAAAATTAATGGACAGTTATAAGTAATTTAAAAGAGATGCTACAAGTTTTTTATGATAGTACAATGTTATTATCTTGCTGTTATTATCCAACCATTACTTTAGCTGCTTTACAAATTTTAAATATTCAATTTTTTTTAATAAATATCGTATGGATGATTATTTTGGAAATATAATTTTTCAAATGAAAAGTAAATTAAATAAATATTTTATGCTTATTCCTGTTATTTTTAGTTTGGTGGTTCTTATTGATCCGTGTTTGAAAGATATTGGCCTCCGAAGTTTGTTAAATTCCTTGTATGGTAATATGATTATAGACACTGATGATGGTCAAACCATTACTGCTACTATTCATCATAATACTATTAGAAATTATTTTCAAAGATTATATGATGAGTACTCAGCTAAATATGGTGTAGTTACACATCAGTCTACAGCTTCTGTTTCTACGAGCTCAAGTCGGGACAAAAGTGTAAGTTTTGATAGGTATGCAATGGTAGTTAAGCTAACTAGTGGATCTGGACTTGGATCATCAGTAGAGGTTTCTGAAATTGATCAGTAATTAACTGCATCTTTAGTTAAATGTCAAAATAATAGTTTAGATATTTTGCAATGGTGGAAAGTATATGGAAATCTTTAGTTAAATGTCAAAATAATAGTTTAGATATTTTGCAATGGTGGAAAGTATATGGAACAGTTTCATATCCTATACTTTCCATCTTGCAATGGTGGAAAGTATATGGAACAGTTTCATATCCTATACTTTCCATCATGGTTCGTGACTTACTACCAGTGCAGGTTTTCACGGTAGCTTCAGAATCCGCCTTCAGCACAGCCGGACGTTTGATCGACGACCACATGACATCGTTAGATCCGTATACCATACAGACAGTGATGTGCTTACATGATTGGTGGAGGTCGAGAAGAGAACGTAATGCATCGATCGGATGGTTGGTATTGAAGATAAATTTGAAGAGTTGAGACTAGTAGATAGATATAAAGAGTAAACAATATTCATCAAATTGTAATATTTATTTCTTAGCTAAAAATTTATAATAAATTATTTTGGAAACAGTTACAAATGATAGTGATATATGTGAGTAGGTGCCAACCTAGTTAGGATGTACTCATCTATTGTGATGCGACGAATTTCAAAATAAATTTATAATTGTAAATGATTTACTGATTATTAATAAAGAAGTTATTTTAACATTTTAATTTTAATAATTTTTTGTATTTGTAATTTATGTAATTTAAGTGATTAATAATATTATTGTTTTTTATTAAAGTTTTGTATAATTTTTTGTTGAAAATTGAAAGGAAAAGAAAAACTTTAAAAAATTGAAAAAAATGGGTCGGCCCAGTGCCCGGACCCGGCCCGGGCCAACCGGACCCAGGCTCCGGTTTTGCTCGGGCCCGGGCCCGTTTGGACACCCCTATGCCCACATTTTTCCTTTGATGAGACGCTTGATTCAGTGCATGATCCACGCTCCGTTCTTTCTAAATTTTCTATGCTTTAGGAATTAGGAATAACGTGCTCTCACCAAATTCTACCCAGTTTATGATAAAAGACCAGTGTCACTATTTTTGTTGGTATGAAAGAACCAACACGTATCAGATTCAGGCGTAACTCTTTTTAGCTAAGTTTGTGAAAGCAACATATAGGCTAGAATGACAATATATCATCTCGACTCCTCTCTCTCTCTTTCATTCATTAATAGCGGTGCAAACGGTTTGGATACGAGTCGGCTTGGATATGATATTATCAATATCCGCTTGTCAATTACGGATATGGATATTGGTGCAATTATGAATATGTCTTGGTAAGGAAAACTCGTATCTATATCCACTAAAATTAGATACAAATACAGACATATATGCGGATATACACGAGGAACAAAACGGATGTGAGAAAACCGAATAATATTAAAAAAATAGTTCGTATTATACAAAAGAGTTCATTAACACGTTTTAACACGTTTGATGTATTTGAAAAGCTAATATTAGATCTCTTAATCACCAAAATTAATCTCAAATCCATTAATCTAGGGATTAAACAATTGTAATTGTATGACCAATATGTATTCAGATATTTCAAATACGGAGCCCAATATTTCACTATATGTATCCATATTTATAAATGAGATTAATGAGTATCCTTATCATAGGAGGAGATTTCCATCATTGTCGCCTATGTGGCATAATCTCCACCATCCTCATAAAGTAGACACAAATCCCCACCAACTCACACACTCTCTCATACTTTATGAGGATGGTGGGGATTGTGCTACATAGGCGTCAAGGAGAAAATCCCCTCCTATGACAAGGATACTCATTAATCTCTTTATAAATATGTCCTATCACATATAAATATTTAATAACCATATTCATGAATACGAGTTTTCTTTTTCTTTTCTTTTTCTTTTACACTCCTAATTAAAGGTCATGTAATGTCTATTTTGACTAGCACTAATCTCAATCGTAATCTTTTTATAGTAGGGTCGTTTTATTGGTGCTTTCTAATGAAAAATAATCTGGTAACAATTCTATAATATATAGTAGGCTAAAGTTGGATGACACGTGGTAAACTATTAGAGATTCGAAGCGGATTCGGATCCTTTCTACTAAAAAAATAATGGAGGGACCACTACATAATCACAACAATTAATTATTTAGTTGGTGGTGGTGATTTTTTTTAGTGCAAATTAGGAATGAGGGCACTACGTGGGAGTATGATGAGTGTTAAGAGTTATATTGTATCATAACCGCCTATTAAATAATCAACGGTTGAGATTAAAAATAGTAGTCTCTCCACTAATCTTTTGTAGTGGAGAGGATCCAAATTCTATTAGTGACAATAATATCAGGTCAATTAGAATGCTTAATTAAAATAACTATTAATATTTTGATGTTAAAATCATCAATGTTGTGTCAATATAGTTAAACTATCTTACCAGTATAATCATCGACTTTAAAATCTTTGGGGGCATGGTGCAGGATTCTTTGAGCCAAACAAGGGCAGCGACAAAGTCCAACATGCCCGTTTAAGCGCACGCGCGCAATTTTCCTATCATTGAAGAGATCCAATCTAAAGCACAACAATGATCAATTGATCTTTCAAGTTGCCTCAATGATCGTCTAGCATTTATTAACTTACTAACAAAATGTATGGCGTAATATTGAACGTGAGTCTGCGATGATCCAATCTATCTAATATGTTCTCTAGCGCTAACAACATTAAGTACTGGTGTCACAATCAACATAGGAAAACCAGGACAAACTTATTTCTCATATGGTGTTACCGTCGGAATTTTTCCAATATTATGCACACAAGTAGTAGTGAGTATACTCCGAAGTTCAAACTACTATGTACTACAGTAAATAAAAGTATAGGGTACTCGATGACTCGCAAATTTCGATAGCAATTCAAGAGAAAGGACGCCATATTTTTTTTTCGATTTTAGTTTTGAAGTATAGAAGAAGACTGAAATATAGAGTTTGTAGTCTAGCTAGTTAGTACCCATGATCCTCCATCTGGCTTCAAGTGATCTGCACCCAAGAGAGAAATTTTGAAATGAGTGAAATATCACAATTGCAAGAAACTACAGAAGAATGCAGGAAACTGCAAAAAGAATGGCAGAGAACTACATCTTGAAGCCGTATAAACTTATACGGGGAAACTCATGAAGAAAAATGCATGTGAACACGTTAAGAAGATTATCTCCTGCTATTTTCGCTTTGATGAATTTCAGAATGATTTACTTATAACCTGCATTTTTCATTAAATTCTGAAACCAAATTATCTTGGTAAACAAATTTTACAGTAACCCCGTAAAGGTGTTGGGGCAAGTATAGTCTTAAAGACAAGAGTGACGAGTCGAGTCCTTCCAGTATTTGAAACACACCTTAATATTTATTTGTCCAACAACCAAAGGGTTCCTCTTCTTCTTCTTCTCCTCCTCATTATTATTATTTTGGTAGGTAATCGAGAAGAGAAAATGGCAAATAATAAAAATGAAATTCTACTCCTTAGGCAAGGGTATCTTTGTAAAGTACAAAGACGCGAAAAGAAGGTAGCCTGATTTCAAAGTCATATTGCAAACTAACTTCACTTCTCTCTTCTTGTGACACTAAAGAAATGCAAGGGTGGCGCTAGCTAAATCAACAACTGCAGCTCCTGCGATTTTTCTGTTATCCTTCTCTCTCTGTCTTCGAGGAAGAACAATGGAAGATAAGCCGAAAGCTGTAGAGGCGACGAGCGAGAAAATTGATGCACTGAGCATAGAATCAGGGCGGCAAGAGGCAGAGCATGTGATTGTCTCAGCCCATGTAGTTGACAAAGGTCAGTTTCTGAGATGAATTCAAGTACGCTTAAGTTCTCCCACAATATCGAATGAATAGCAAGTTTATGGTTATCAATAATATTTTTACGGAAAAGAACCATGAAGAAGAAGAGGGAGAAGTACTGTTATTTTTTTTAATTTTTATTTTTTAAAAAGAAACCAAATAATGTGCGCAATAATACATATTTCAATAAAAGAAATATATAAGCAGCTTTTTTATCGGAACATTGCTCAATGATCATGACAAGCTGAATAACATTTAATACAACAATATACACAAGCTATGCATTGCATTCCATAGGTACTTTGGGTTCTGATTTTTTGTTTTGTTCATTTTTCGTGACTTTTGCATGTTTAAGAGATTATGCCACATAATTTAGGACTACAATTAAAATTACCAAAAATGCATAATATGATAATGGCTAAGCTTGATGGAGGATAAGCACTCCACAATTATGGTAGTAGATTTGTTTTACATGGATATAACATCAAAAAAAGTAGTTGTAACTTTTATATGTGTGCTGTGTGTACGTGGCTATTAGCGTGCGCTTCATGAGCTTGACCATTTGCTTATTATTCCTTCTTTTTTCTATTTTAACTTCTTACCTTTATTGTTGCAGACTCATGGCAACAAGTTGGATTACTGATGGTCACTGGTTTTAACTGTGCATATGTGCTCAGCTTCTCAAATCTGATGTTGGCGCCATTAGGCTGGGCCTGGGGCCTCACTGGGCTTGCAGTTGTGGGGGCCTTCGCCTTCTATGCAAAGTGGCTCTTGGCTGAATTCCAGGTCATCGATGGCAACAGATTAATCAGATATAGAGATATCATGGGCTACGTATTTGGTACTCTCACCTCATCTCAATCCTGTATCACAACAAACAAAAATAAATCACCACATTAGAAGTGAACCCTCACTTCATCATCAGCAAAACAAGTTGCCAAAAGCTAGAAAAATATAAGGTCTATATTCCAACATAACCCGTAGAATCATTTTTTTCTTAGTAAATAAATTGTCACCTCACATCCATGTTTTCTAAACAAATAGAGAAGCAATACACATAATGAAGCACTCCATACATCACCGTCTGATCACAACTTCCACTGAAATATTAAATAAATAAATAAATAAATACCACATACGGACGATGCATGTTTATTACACCAACAAAGAACTTTCACTTCAAAATTCTATGAAAATTAATATAAATCATTTTCCTTCAACTCATACTGGGAAACCTCAGAAATCCAAATAATATATGCACTTTGATAGATTACGTAGAGCACGAAATAATTGTATATATTTCCATTCCGATATTCTTCTCCTTGAATAAAAATTCCACCTTAATACTGACCTGGACACTTCATAGCCTGACACATCAAAATCCAAAAATACTGGAGGCTTAGTTTGAATTCAAAGCGTAACATCTAATGCGGTAAATGGAGCATTCGCAATGCTACACACTCTGATAGTTCCCGATAATCAAACTGAAAGGTCTCTCTGGTTCCTTCCCTCTGATTTTGTCCTCCGCAAAAATTATGACAACTACCACAGTATGCTATTGGGGAGGAAAACCCGCATACAGATAGTAACGCATATCGTCCCCAAGTTGGAAGAGAACCTGAAAAAAGAGAGAATACTATCAGTGCAATAAAAATATAGTATCAGGCAATCACTAATACTGTTCCAGTTTAATAAGAACATTGTATTGGTGCCTTCATCAACTTCAAATTGTGCACATGGAAACACTCGTGTCCTCCCTCCTCCCTATACAATTTTATATTGATGGCCTTCTATAGGATTATTATTATTATTTTCTCTGCAGTCATATTCACCATATATGAAAGTTGAAACTGCAAAATTCCTGCACTTGTAGCAGCATATTCACTTGTCATGATAATGTACATTACCAACCCATAGCAACCAGTAAAAAGTCTCAGAAAACATCAAGAGAAAGTATATGTATGGTAACAAGCATGAACTGCTATTACTATTAGATGAAATGATAATGCAATTTTATTAATAATGATATCCTACTTATTTTGCAGGTAAGAAACTGTATTACATCACATGGATCTTGCAATTTGTGACTTTTCTCCACGTTAACATGGGCTTTGTCCTTCTTGGAGGAAGAGCATTGAAGGTGTATATTTTACATGTTCTTGTAGATTGCATAAACAAAATTACCATCGACTTCCAAAAATTTTACACAGCAAGAATAACTCACCCTTTCCGGTTCAAAATTAAACAAATTTGTCCTAAGAAAAGCTTAATTATACAAAGATTCTTATTATTCATTTCCAGAAAAGAAAAACAACTTCTATGTCTGACTGACTTTTATTTCCATCAATTGTTGTTATTTTGAATATCAACTTTGCCAGCTATATATTGAAATTTCACTTGGTTATTCATCTCTTTTTCCCCCTTTTCACATTTCAAATTTTCATAGTTCGTCTACCTACAACAACCTGAATGAGTGGACTCTGATCTGTTTGCTGGTTTTGCCTGCCTAACAACGCAAAGGTTGTCATTTTTAGCGTTGCAGTTCAAGGTTCCATCCAGCGAATTTTCCATCCAGCGAATTACTTATCAAGTTACTCGCCATTTCAAATCACATGTATTACTTTCAAGCATCTAAATTTTTTCTTGACCTGAACGTTAGGTATATTATTTTTTTTTCTGGTAAACGGAATTATCATTTTAATACCTTATTTCTTTTGTAGGACATTTATAGGAGCTATAAAGGATTGAAGTAAGATAGGCTTTTGCACTCCCCTCATAATCTAATTAGAAAATGTATAGAAAAATGGGAGGGGGGAAAACTTAATTTAGGGAACACTAAATTTGACTTGTGTTGTGCGCAGCGAAAATTTCGGCAGCACCTCCGGTGCGCTAGGTACACAACAAGAGATTAGATCACAACAAAATTCTCGTTTCTCAAAGGAAACAAGAACCAAAAACCAGATATCTCATCAAAGTGAGCTATCAGTTCTTCCTCTCATCAGTTTTAAGACTGAAATGTCGAGGGAACCTACAAGCTATTACAAATCACGACAAGAATACAAATTTTACGTGGTTCGAAAAATTGCCTACGTCCACGGGGCAAGGAGGGGGGAGATCTACTATTAGAGGGAGAGAACACAACTAGGATTTACAATCACACAACCAAAACCCTCTCACAAACTCTCAGATCCCTCACACAAATACTCTCTCAAAGGCACAAACACTTTTTCTCCCGCAGCGTTTTACCCTGTTCTTTTGCACACAAAAAAACAGTCGCAGCCTAGCCGCAAAAAGAGCTCCTGCCGATTTTTTCTTTTCTTTTTCCGAAGCTCTCTGCCTGCTCCGTAGCCACAAAAATCCGCGGCCACCGCACAAAAGGCACCTTGCACACTAAACCCTAGGAATTAATAGGTATATATATATGACACTAGAGTCGGGTGGGCCTTTGTTTTTCTCCACGAGATTGGTCTCACGTAGGTGTGGTCCCCATGTATTCACAATTCTCCACCTCGGTGAAGTTTTCTACCAAAACTAAGCCGACACCAAAGCAACCAAATGTCCCACTCATTCGATAACAAGTCGGGAACCCGAACTAGAGTCCAAACAATCTCACCCCATAAAAATCAACTAATCCAAACCGGCTGCATCGTAAAGACTGCCTACGTATCCTCTTGCCCAAGAAATCAAGCCTCACGTGGTTCACCCAAATGGCCTCCAAAAGCCTCAACACCGAAGAATGTTCAAAAATTCCAAACAATGACCAAACTTAACACCTGAAACAACTTTGGTCAACATATCTGCATGGTTGTCCTTCGTATGGATCTTTTCCAACATGACGTATCCTTCATCCAAAACGTCACGAACAAAATAAAATCTGACATCGATATGCTTCATGCGTGCATGATAAACCTGGTTCTTCGCCAAATAGATGGCTGACATGCTATCACAATGTACCTGAATGGTTTCCTGTACAATCCCCAAGTCCTCCAACAATCCACACAACCACAAAGCCTCCTTCATAGCTTCAGTCAACGCTATATACTCTGCCTCCGTAGTGGAGAGAGCCACTGTAGACTGAAGTGTGCATCTCCAACACACCGGTGCTCCTGCTCGTGTAAACACATATCCGCTAGTAGACCGGCGCTTGTCCAGATCCCCCGCATAATCAGAATCCACGTAACCACTACAATCCTGTCATGTCTTCTCATTCTTCTGAAATACCAAACCAACATCCACAGTACTTTTGATATACCGTAGAATCTACTTCACAGCCTCCCAATGACCCTTCCCGGGGTCGTGCATGTACCTGGATACCATGCTCATGGCCTGTAACAAATCTAATTTTGTACACACCATCGCATACATCAAGCTACCCACAGCATTTGACATATGGAACTTTGGACATGTATTCCCGGTCCTTAACTGAAACATGTGACATCTTAGCTGATAGCTTAAAGTGGGGAGCTAATGGAGTATTCATCGTATTGACATTGCCATCATAACTGAATTTTTTCAGCATCTTCTGCAAGTAACTCCTCTGTGTCAACTCCAACCTCCCCTTCACCCTGTCTCTCTCAATCTCTATACCCAATATCTTCTTTGTTTCTCCAAGATCCTTCATCTCAAATTCGGATGACAGTTCTTTTTTTAACTTTCTAATAGCTGAAGTATTCCTGGAAGCTATGAGCATATCGTCAATATATAACAGCAAATAGATACACTCACCATTCTGTAGCTTGTGCATGTAAACACACAGGTTATATGGGCTCCTCGTGTACCCTCGGCCAATCATAAAGTCGTCGAATCTCTTGTACCATTATCGCGGCGATTGCTTCAATCCGTAAAGAGACTTCTTCAGCTTGCATACCAATTCTTTCTTTCCTGTAGCTTTGAACCCCATAGGTTGTGTCATGTAGATCTCATCTTCTAAATCTTCATGTAGAAAGGCTGTTTTCACATCCATCTGGACCAAATCCAAATCCAGCTGTACCACCAATGCTAATAAAATACGAATCGGCGAATGTTTCACAACAGGTGAAAATACCTCGTTGTAATCAACGCCCTCTAGATGTGCATATCCCTTGGCAACCAATCTGGCTTTGAATCTAATTTCCCCAACAAAAGATCCCTCTTTCTTTGCATACACCCACTTGCATCTAATAGCCTTCTTACCCTTCGGTAGCTTTGCAAGTTCTCAAGTGTCGTTCTTATGAAGAGACTGCATCTCTTCCTCCATGGCTTCCCTCCACCTATTCAAATCAGAGCTTGACTCTGCTTTCTTGAATGTAAAAGGAACCAAGTCATCATTGACTTCTGCTGATAAAGCATATGCAACCATGACATTGTCATATCTAGCTGGCTGACGAATGTTTCTTCTTGGTCTATTAGCTACAATGGACTCCTGAACATGACCCTATTCCTGAGTCCCAACATCCACTGTATCCTCTAAATGCCCGGCTGTCATCCCATCTCCTCCCAGTGTCACCTCTGTAGGAGCCTCGATGGATACAATGCTCTCTGTAGTGGGTGGAGTCACATCATCCTCCACCTGTTGCGATATCTCATGAATTCGGTGTTCCTCTACCTACTGAGAAACTTGAGGCTTCATCATGTACGCCTCGTCAAATGTGATATTCCTGCTAATAACTATCTTCTTGTCTTGTGGATCTCATAACTTGAAGCCTTTAACTTCATCTCTAAATCCCACAAAGACTGCTTTCCTCACCCTCGGATTCAATTTATCATCACTGATATGGTAATAAGCTGGACACCCAAATATCCGAAGCGACTCATAGTCACTAGCTACCGAACCAGACTAACGCTCCAACGGAGTCTTCCCCTGTATCGCAGTGCACGGCAACCTATTCACGAGATGGCTCGTATAAACCAATGCTTCGGCCCAAAAAGATCTAGGCAATCCACTCTGCGTCATCATACATCGCACCTTCTCCAGCAAGGTACGGTTCAATCTCTCTGTCACCCCGTTCTGTTGCGGTGTCTCTCTAACTGTGAAGTGTCATCTAATGCTATGATCCCGATAAAACTACAGAAACGGATCACTCTTATACTCTCCACTGTTATCTGAACGTAGAGTCTTCACCTTTTTACCTGTCTGCAGCTCCACTTTCTTCTTTCACTCCATAAAAATATTCAGAACCTGATGTTTATGCTTCATCAGGTATACCCAATTCCTTCTGGAATAGTCATCAATAAAAATGACAAAATAGTTAGCCCCACCAAGTGATGTGTGCTTGGAAGGGCCCCAAATATCTGTGTGAATGTAGTCTAATATACCTTGAGTATTGTGAATAGCGGTACTGAATTTCACTCGTCTTCTTCCCAAGTATGCAATGTTCATACAGCTCCATCTTGCAAGTCTTTACACCCTTCAATAGCCCCTGTTTCGCCAATACCTGTAGGGACTTATCATTAGTGTGTCCTAATCTCATATGCCATAAGCTGGTAGTATCTTTCTCTGTGGTAATCGAAGCTGCCAGACCCCCTGTTACCGTCTTACCCTTCAAGTAGTAAAAGTTGTTTTCCCTGACACCTCGCATCACCACCATGGACCCCTTTGTGACCTTTAGAATCGCATTCTCCAAGATCACCTTATAGTCAGCTGCCTCCAAAGTTCCAAGCGAAATGATATTTTTCGTCAATTGAGGAACAAATCTCACTTCCTTCAGCTCCCGAGTTACCCCGTCACATATCTGAATCCGTACCACTTCAAGTAGTAAATGTTGTTTTCCTTGGCACCTCGCATCATCACCATGGACCCCTTTGTGACCTTCAGAGTCATATTCTCCAAGATCACCTTATAGCCAGCTGCCTCCAAAGTTCCAAGTGAAATGATATTCTTCGTCAATTGAGGAACGAATCTCACTTCCTTCAGCTCCCGAGTTACCCTGTCACACATCCGGATCCGTACTGTACCAATACTACCAATAGGGCATACGTGATCATTACCCATGAGCACGACATCCCCTCTTTCTAACTCCTCAAAGCTGGAGAACCAATCCTTCCTAGGACAAATATGGTATGTAGCACCAGAATCCATCATCTACTCCGTAGAGTCAGCGTAACAAACTGACGGTAATGCAGAGCAAGAATAGCTTGAAGAATCCGTATCTGAATTGTCGTCACTAGCCTTGATAACATTCACTTCCGAAGCTTGTACAATTTTTCCTTTATTCTTTCCAGTTTTATCTTTCAACTTTGGGTAGTCGTTCTTCTAATGTCCTTCTTCTTTGCAAAAGCGACATTGATTCCTACCAATATTTCTATAGCCACCTCTTGACTTCGATCTTGAGTGATCACCTGGACGGTGGTTTGGACCACGGCCTCGAACTGCTAATGCATCTCCCGATGCCTTCTCGGAGGGTTCACCATCATTCTTCCTCAACTCATAATTCACTAAAGCTGAGGTCACCTCCTTGTAGCTAACCGTAGTTCTTCCATTTATCATAGTGAGAACAAACATACCAAAATCATCCTCCGGCAACGAACACAATAGTAGCATCACCTTGTCTTCATCATCAACCATGATATCTACATTGGCCATATCCAAAATTAGCTTCGTGAAGTTGTTAACATGCTCCCGAATGGAAACTCCCATCTTCATCTTGAATTGGTAAAATATCTTCTTCAAGTGAAGCCGATTCTTAATGTTCTTCGTCAGATACTTCTCATTGAGTGTTTCCTACATTCTCTTCGCTGACGTCTCGTTCATTACGTCATAAATAAGATCTGGCGTCAAGCATGACCGAATAACTCCACAAGCCCTACTATTCATCTTCTTCCAAACCTTTTCCTCCATATCAGGGGGTTTCTCTTATAACTCAAGAGTCTCCTCCAAATTCTGTGCATCCAAAACGTCCATCACCTGACACCTTCACAATCCGAAATTAATCTTGCCGTCGAACTTCGGAACATCAATCTTTGAGTTATTGATACTCAGACTCTGTATCGCCTTCGAAAGAAATGATCCCGATGTGCTTGTTTCTCCTATGTTGTCGATCTAATTCTTCAAATAGGAATCCTTCAGCGAATCCTTCGAACAAGCTCCTAAATCCAACCCGAAGCTCTGATACCACTTTTTATGCGCAGCGGAAATTTCGGCAACACCTCCGGTGCGCTAGGTGCACAACAAGAGATTAGATCACAACGAAATTCTCGTTTCTCAAAGGAAACAAGAACAAAAAACCAGATATCTCATCAAAGTGAGATATCAGTTCTTCCTCTCATCAGTTCTAAGACTGAAATGTCGAGGGAACCTACAAGCTATTACAAATCACGGTAAGAACACAAATTTTACGTGGTTCGGTAAATTACCTACGTCCACGGGGCAAGGAGGGGGGAGATCTACTATTAGAGGGAGAGAATACAACTAAGGTTTACAATCACACAACCTAAACCCTCTCACAAACTCTCAGATCCCTTACACAAATACTCTCTCAAAGGCACAAACACTTTTTCTCCCGCAGCGTTTTACCCTGTTCTTTTGCACACAAAAAAACAATCGCAGCCTAACCGGAAAAAGAGCTCTTGCCGATTTTTTTCTTTTCTTTTTCCGAAGCTCTCTGCTTGCTCCGTAGCGGCAAAAATCCGCAGCCACCGCACAAAAGGCACCTTGCACACTAAACCCTAGGAATTAATAGGTATATATATATATATATATATATATGACACTAGAGTCGGGTGGGCCTTTGTTTTTCTCCACGAGATTGGTCTCACGTGGGTGTGATCCCCACGTATTCACAACTTGTCATATACGAAAGGTATCAACAGTTGAAAGAATTTGTGATGTTCTCTTCACAATTAACACTCGCTGTTATTTTAGAAAATCTTTATGGATTTCTGCAGATAGCCACAATGTGATCCATCATCGCTAATGCTGTTATTTTTCTTATATTATTTACGCAACGCAGAAATTTAACTTGACTAGCCAATATTGGAACATATTCCATTCCTAGTCCAGTAGAGAGCTAACTATGATAGTTGAAGTGAATCTTTAATGAATTTACTGACACTCAGAACAAATTTACAATCAGGAGATCAACTCAGAGTTCAGTAGCACACCTGTTAGGCTTCAAGTGTTCATCACTATTACTGGTGGCGCCTATTTCATCTTTGCAAATCTAGTTCCTACCATGTCCGCCATGAGAAACTGGTTACCAACCTCCGCAATCCTAATAATAATCTTCGATGTCATTCTCTTGGCAATCTTAGTTCAAGATGGTGCTTACTTCCCTCTTCACTGGAACTTTCAATTTTTTGCGTACTGATACAAATTTGAAGGACATATTATGAGGTCATCTTTTCTTTCCTATGTCCATGACTTTCTCAGGACGTGCAAACAAAAACAAGGATTACAATATTAGTGGAACTAAAGCGGATAAATTCTTCAATGCATTTGGTGCAATTGCTGCTATCCTTGTCTGTAACACCTCCGGTTTACTACCAGAGATACAGGTTAATTTTGGACATACAGAAGGATGATGAAAAGCTCTTTTATCATCTTCAAATTCCATAATTATTAGAAGTAAGTGTCAAGCTATTTATATACCTGCCGATATTTTGCAGTCAACTCTTCGCAAGCCAGCAGTTAGCAACATGAGGAAAGCTTTGTCGGTACAGTTTACATTTGGTCTTGCAATATACTATGGTGTAAGCATACTTGGCTACTGGGCGTATGGTTCATTAGTTTCAAACTATCTGCCGAAAGAATTAAGTGGACCTAAATGGGCAAAAGTTCTGATAAATTCTGCAGCTTTTCTGCAAAGCATAATCTCTCAGCACGTAGGTTTTCCTCTGCATGCATTTTGTATTATTAATTAAGTTTTCATGTTTCACGTATGACTAGAAAGGTTTTAACCGTATCTTTTCCATGAAACCAGATGTTTATTCAACCGATATATGAGGGTCTGGACACAAAGTTCTTAAGTCTGGAGAAGAGCACATTCTCAAGAGCGAACCTTGTACGCCGGTTTCTTTTAAGAGCACTAGTTCTGGGAATGAATACATTTATTGCAGCACTGTTTCCTTACATGGGAGATTTTGTAAACCTTTTCCGGTCTTTTAGTCTCTTTCCGCTCACCTTTGTTTTCCCCAGCATGATTTGGATCAAGGTATGAGCCGCTAAGATTCCACCCTGTCTATTTACGGAGTTCATTATTAGATATAACTGAGCTAGGTTCTTGTTTCACTGTTTCACCGCCTCAGGTCAAAGGAAAATCTGCTAGCAGAGGCGAAAAGGCATGGCACTGCGCCATCATTGTTATCTCCTCTCTACTATCAGTAATAACTACTGCTGCTGCTACGAGATTGATAATCAATAATGCTCGAAAGTACAGGCTTTTTGCAGATACATAATGCTTCAAGTTCTCATAAAGATGTTAACCAGATGGTTTAAAGATTTCACAGTAAATACGAAGTCTTTTTTGGTTACGAATGTTTCAAGTTCCAGATAAAGTAGATGGTAAAACACCATAACAAGATTTCACTGTTCTTCTTCATGAAATTTCTCATTAAATAGCTTTCGAAACGTACGTTACTAGAAGACCTTACCATTACTTGTGCAAATTCAGAGTATGCATTTCCAACTTTTTTGGTTGAGTCATGGAACCATGATGAGTTTGAATATAATGATTCGCTGTTTTATAATAAGACCTTACTCATTAACAGAACAGAATTGTACGCAAAACATGTCCTCCTCAAGTTAGTGATGCCTGCTAGGCCCTTTATTGGAAAAACGAATGGCTTCTGTTTCAACATTCAGTTGTCATATGTGCTGACTTGATGTTTTGTTGCTTTAATATAATAAATGAAGATGGAAAAGCAAATCAGCAGTGCAAAAGGCGTAATCCTAATATCAGAAGATCCTCCAAAAGCAAACACTAAACTAGTGACAAAGCTAAGTACCCTCTAGTTGCTAAATGAAGCCCAATAAATGTTGTTGAACGTTGTGATGTTATTCTCTGCAAAATGGCAAATCAAACCAGGGAAAGAAATCCAAGGTTTGATGGTGGACTTTATAAGCGAATTGCTTTTACTGGTTGTGAGAATTTCTGTGGTATAATGTGCTACACCCTTAAATTTTAGACTCCCGACCCCTCAGGAGGCTGCAAGATGATAATTAATCACATGAAGTTGACATTTTCAGTGAACTCCGAGTCCATGGAAGTACGAAGCATACGTGATAGACCAAACCGACAATACAAATAACAATTGACATGAAACTAAGAAATTACCATCTTGGGTTGGAAACGCGGCCCCCTCTAAAACCGAAAACCATCTTGGGTTGGAACTTACTCCGAGTCCGTGGGTTTTGTTTGCTTAGTTTAGTGGCTTATTAGCGGCTGATTAGTGATCACTAAACGTACGAGACTATGGGGCTACTAGTCCCGTGTGTTTCAAAACTCAAATTCAGTAAAACAGATACCATGAGTTTAGTCCCGTGTGTTTCAAAACTCAAATTCAGTAAAACAGATACCATGAGTTCAGGGCCGGTTCTGAGATTTTAGGGGCCCTGTGCGAAAAGTAAACACATGGCACTTCTCTATATACAAAATATCAATAAATTCCAATTCGAATCCCTAAAATGCTAGGGAACAAAATGTTACTGATCAGACATTAAAATGTTACCTGATTTTTTTGCATCTGAATAATCTTTAACATACTTTTCAAGTGCTATTGCCCATTCTTCATCTCTTCGGTCACCTGAATAAAATATTATTGATCAGATAAATACATGTAATCTCACCTTAATAAAGCTTTCCAATAGAGCAAATAGTCCACAATAAGAAATACTTGCATATTATATTCCTCTTATATCTGTGCTTACCTTCATCAGATATCGAAGCCTTTAGCATCAAAAAGTATCATCGAAAAATTATCCTCCTTGTATTTTTAGCTGCAAAATCACTAATTAAGCCTTTAGATCTCTTATAGGACCATTTTCCACTAATATATCTCTAGATTTTGTGTCCAAGCTATCCCAAATTCTTGGATCATAAATATTCAAATTCATGAGCATGGACTGATTAGGTTGTTCATTACCTAAAATATTGTCATTCTCATTGTCAATATCAATTTCATTCTGATTCTGATTCTCAATTTTACTTTCATTTTTATTTTCATTCCGATTCTCATTTTCATTATTATTTTCATTTTCATTATGATTCTCATTTATATTCTGATTCTCATTTTCATTCTCATTTTTATTTTTACTTTGATCATCAACATTTTCATTCTCATACTCATTCATGCACAAATCATTAATGTTATCATTTCAATTGAATTTTTAACTAAATCTTGTGTTTCTCTAACAATAAATTTATCAAGCGCTCCACTTTGAGTTTGGACAAATTGTTCATTTTTTTTTTTTGCGTTTATCATATCCAGAAGGATATTTTCTTGGTGGCATTTCTATAATAAAAAAAAATATTACAATCAAATTGAAAGAAGTCAAAAGATTCGGAACAATACAACCTAATAAACAGCTCCAGCTGAGTATCGAGCTTGCTCTTATCCGTCAAGCTCTCGTAACGAATTTTATCCAAAGCCTTTACAACAACAACAAAAATCAAATAAAAGCATCAAATCAAGAGCTGCTCAATCAACAAAAACCCTAAGTAATCCCAAAAATGACTAAAACTTCTTCAAGACTACAAACAGCTTACCATAAGAGCACTCCATCCTTAGCAAGGTCAAATAGCATTCTTTTTACCGCCCAATTTTTCTGCTGCACGAGATTGAAGATTCAAATAGACCTGTAGAATTCAACATTTCCACTTTTTCAAATCTAATTTATAATCCAATGATAAGAAATAGTATTTCAAAAGGAAATTGTTGAAAACTATCACAAGGATAAAGGAAAAAGAAGAATACCCGAAGAAATGACTCAAAGTTGGAGAGGAATTGTTTTGCTGGCGAGCTCGACAGCGAAGATTTTGAGGGCGGCGACTGGCAAGCTCCGACTGCTGAGCGGGGGCGGCGACTGGCGAGCTCCAAAGTCGACGATTTCGGGGGCGGTGGGACAACGGGCGGTGATGGCGAGGGCGACGCCGCGAGGCCCTGGCTGAGCGAGTGAGCGTGTCGAGGACTCGAGGGCGGACTGCAGAGTACGACGGGGGAGAGGAGGAGGGGGATGGGGGCTAGCAGATCTGGTTTGAGATGTGATTCAGTGAAGATGGGTAGGGTTTTTGAAGGAGGGGTTTTTGAATGGAGGGGTTTTTGAATGGAGGGTTGAGATTAAGCTGAGTTGTGAAATGGATGGTCCACGTCCATTTAGATTTATTTCTCTTATATATAAATATAAAAAAAATTGGGGCCCCTAATTTTTGGGGGCCCGGTGCGGTCGATCACTCTGCACTCCTCCAAAGCCGGCCCTGCATGTGTTTCAAAACCCGAGATGGTACATCAACTACTAGTTTCTTGTGTTCAATTTAGTGGCCGATTAGCTTGTACTAAACACACGGAATTACTGGTCTCGTATGTTTTAAAATTTAAATTTAGCAAAACCGACCTTTTTTTTAATCAAATTTCGTGAGCTGATAAAAAAATTCATATTTAACAAAACGGTCGGTTTTGCTATTTATCAATACCGGCTCATTTCAAAAATTTCTCCATTATAGAATTAAGCTGAGAATTCAAATTTTCAAATCAAGTTACAAAGTTGAAAGCACATTCTAGATAATCAAAAGTGAACGTGTCATATGTTAGGGGTGGTAATTCCCACTAGAATTAATGAAAAGAAAAGAAAAAAGAAAAAAGAAAAAAAAGAGAGAGAGAATGCGAAACCTCGCTGTTAATTGCTATTAGGCATTAATAGATGATGATGATGTAATTCAGAGCCTAACCTGATTAAATAAAATTGAAACCACGCTGACCCATCCCAAGCTCCCCATTGAAGTGATTGATGTACCTCAACTATCAAATTCCGACGACGGGGGTTGTGGGGCTAGGGTTAGGGTTTGGGTCCCGGGGTGAAGAGAGAGGGGGAGAGAGAGAGAGATCGGTGGAGGTGGGCGGCGCCGCGGTGGACGATCGCCATCGGCGGGCTGCCCTTTGTCAGGAGATATTTTTGACATTTTATTCTTGAGGTTTTTGCTAGAAATCACCTTAACAATAGGGTAATTGTACGAATACAACCATTTTATTTTCAAATTATACATATACCATCTTTCTGGTCAAATTTTCATTATCAAATTAAAAATAACCTTAAAAAAATTCTAGTTCAAGGGATGCATCTTGTGTCCTAGAAAGATGTAAATACTAAAAGAATGAGTTATGTACATTGAAGGCAAGATTTTTAAGGTTAATTTTGGATTTTAAATGAATATTTTGATTAGGAGGCGGTCGATTGCAACAAAAACTAAGTTTAATGGTAGTTTATGTATAAATTAAAAAATAATAATAATTTTTGTATAATTACTCTATTTTCAATGTGGTTTCTAAGAAAACACACTTTATTCTTCTCTGCTAGAAATTCTAATATAAAAATAGGATTTATCCTGTCCGAAGTTCCACCTCCATTTACTTCAAGACCCATCAAAGTAATGTCTACTGCCATAGGCCCAAAATTTACTCATAATAATCACAAAGTACACATTTTACTTACACTTAATTCCAAATTATAGCATACGAAGAGTATGTTGCACGCCGTGCGGAAGCGTGCTCGCAAACCAACTGAGTCGGTGAGCGATGTGCTAGAAAAGAACCAAACACAAGTGCAATTCACAAAATTAACAATCAAAATCACACAAACACAGAGATTTACATCGTTCACGAAATTGCCTACGTTCATGGGGAGAGGATAGGGAGATTTCACTATATGGATGAGAAACAACGGGTTACAATCTCTCAAATAACTCTCAAAATAACTCAACCAATGATCTCACACTCCCTCATAATAATCACCCTCACAAAACTGCTCAAAACAATATTAATTCTCTAGTTAAGAAACCCTAGAAACGTGTGTTTCTATTTATATCAAAACCCAATCCAAAACAGACTAGGAAATAAATTCGGTCCGTATCCGCTTTCCGGTCGACCGCAGGGGTTGCATCGGTCGACCGACCAGAGACGGATTCCAAGTTCATGTAATTTACACGTTTTCGGTCGACCAGTCGAACTCGTTCGGTCGACCGACCAGAGACAGGGTTTCAGACCCTGATATCCAACAGGTTGTCAGTCGACCGGGCCTATGTCGTCGGTCGACCGACCCGAGAGAAACCTGTAGTCTTTTCCCAACTTCAAATTTCCTGTTTTTGCCACGTTTTCTACAATTCTCCACCTCAACGAAGTGTTCCCAAAACTGAGCCGACACCAACATAAGCACTAATGCGTCGTCTCACCAAATACGACTGCACCAATGAGGTTACCTAAGTACCCCCTCTCTCAAGGGATCAAGCCGCTCGTAGTTTATCCAAATAACCGCAAACGGCCTCAACAATTATGAATATGCAATAAGTTTCTACAATGATCAAACTTATTGCTCGGGACTACCTTCGTGAGCATATCCGCTGGATTATCTTTTGTGTGGACCTTCACGAGCTCCACATCCCCATCTTCAAGAACATCTCGAACGAAATGATAACGAACGTCGATATGCTTCGTCCTCGCATGAAAGACCCGATTCTTTGCCCAAATAAATAGCATTCATGCTATCACAATAAATGACGACGGGTCGCTGCGAAACACCAAGATCCTCCAAAAGTCCTCAAAGCCAAATCGCCTCCTTAACGGCCTCAGTAATCGCCATATACTCTGTCGCCGTCGTTGACAAAGCCACAATAGACTGTAAGGTGCATCTCCAACACACCGACGCACGGGTCAAAGTGAACACATACCCCGTCGTCGACCGACGTTTATCTAAATCTCCAGCGTAGTCCGAAGCTACGTATCTAATACATAGCTGTCAACCGCTAGTATCCTGCTCAAAAACCAAACCAACATTGAGAGTACCTCAAATGTACCTCAAAATCCATCTCACAGCATTCCAATGACCTATACCCGGGTCGTGCATGTATCTCGAAACCATGCTCACTGCCTGTGACAAATCCGGCCTTGTACAAACCATGACGTACATCAAACTTCTTACTACGCTCGCATATGGAGTCTTCGACATCAACTCTCTATCTTCAACTGTCTTTAGTGTAAGGTCAGCTAAAATTTTAAATGGGCTCACAATGGTACGCTAACTGGCTTCGTCTCCATACTTACATTAAATTGGTGTAGCACCTTCTTCAAATAAGCTACATGTGTCAAACAAATTCTGTCCTTATCTCTGTCTCTGCCGATCTTCATCCCTAAAATATGCTTCGCTTCACCAAAATCCTTCATCTCGAACTATTTCGAAAGTTCTCCCTTCAACTCATCTATAGCGGATCTGGAAATAGAAGCAACCAACATGTCATCGACATAAAGCAATAAATAAATGTACGCACCTCCTCGCAACTTACGATAGTACACGTAAGGATCAAACTAGCTCTGAATGTACGAATAGCCAATCATAAACCCATCGAATTGCTTATACCACTGTCGCGAAGATTGCTTCAACTCATATAGAGATTTCTTCAACCTACAAACCTATTTCTCCTTCCCTACAGCTCGAAACCCCAACGACTAAGTCATATAGATTTTCTCGTCAAGATCACCATGAAGAAATACCATTTTCACATCTAACTGGTCCAATTCCAAACCATACTATGCCACCAAAGCTAGAAAGATCATAATCGATGAGTGCTTCACCACTAGAGAAAAGACCTCGTTGTAGTTAATGCATTCTTCCCGTGCATAGCCCTTCACTATCAACCTAGCTTTGAACCTCACTGGAGTGCCTTCAATGTCCTCCTTCTTCATATACACCCATTTGCAATCAATAGTCTTCCACCCCTTCGGAAGCTCAACAAGCTCACATGTGTCATTCTTCTGAAGAGATTCCATCTCTCCTCCCACATAGTTTCCTACCAAAAATCAGCCTTTAAACTCTTCTCAGCCTCTCTGAATGTAGTAGGAACCATCTCATCGACACTCTCCATCAGAAGTGCATAAGCAATAACTGTATTCGTATACCTAGCTAGCAACTGTATGTCTCTCCTGGGTCTCCAAACCGCAATCAAATCCTGAACTTGAGTCGTCGATCCCTGATTCTGCTCAGCTAAACCTATATCCTCCAAATCATCGTTGTGCTCATTTGGCATCAACTCAATCAGCACTCTAATGGATACGATACCATCTGAGTACTATGGAGCTATATCAATCTCCATCACCTGTGATATCTCCTCTGTCGTGGTGCTCTCCACCTGATGAGAGCTGGGAAGCTTCAAGATTGAAGCCTCATCGAAAGTGACATCTCTACACAGCATAATTTTCTTATCAACTGGATCCCTAAGTTTGTATCCTTTCACACCATGTTTGAATCTATTAATTAATATGACATTTCTAGCTTGAGGTTCCAATTTATCAGTCTTCGTATGATATAAAATATAGGGCACCCAAATACCTTGAGCTAATCATAATCACGTGCTAGCTCTCCCGACCACATCTCCATAGGAGTCTTTCCCTCTATCGCAGATGAATGCAGCCTATTAATGAGGTGGCTCGCATATGAAAGTGCTTCAACCCAAAAGATCTTCTCCAAACCACTCTGCGATAACAAACATCAGACATTCTCCAGTAAATACTGATTCAATCTCTCTGCCATCCTATTCTACTGTGGTGTATGACTAACTGTAAAGTATCTTTCTATGCCCTCGTCTCGACATAGCTAGTGAAAGGGGTCTGAAGTGTACTCGCCCCTATTGTCGGATATCAACATCTTGATCTTTCTCCCAGTCTGCAGTTCTAATCTCATCTTCCACTCCATAAATAACTCTAGGACTTCATTCTTATGCTTCATGGTGTACACCCAACAACGCCTAGAATAGTCATACACAAATGTGACGAACCAATATCGATCACAAAGTAATGACATCTTGGTGGGACCCCAAATATCCGTGTGCACATAGTCCAATAAACTCGTCGTCCTGTGTACGGTTGTCTCCACCTTCACCTTTGTCTTCTTGTCAAGAATGCAGTGCTCACAAAATTCTATTTTCTCACTCTTAGCTCCCTTCAATAGCCCCTGCTTGTACAAAGGCTGCAGTGACTTTTTACATGTGTGCCTCAATCTGTAGTGCCAAAGTCTGCTCGCGTCTGCCTCTAAAATAGCTCAAGCTACCTGGCCAATCTCGGTGCTTCCCTTCAGATAATAAAGATTCCTACTGTGGATTCCATTTATCACTACCAATGATCCCTTAATAACTTTTGGTACAACATTCTCAAATATCACCTTGAATCCCTTTGCTTCCAAAGCTCCAATGGAAATAAGATTCTTCTTCAACTGAGGAACAAATCTCACTTTATTTAGCTCTCGAGCAACTCCATCGTGCATCTGAATCTTGATGGTACATATCCCACAAATGTCACAAAATTGATCATTTCCCATGACTACCATGCCCCTATCGAGCTTCTCGAAAGATGCAAACCAATCTCGCCGGGAAGTCACATGATAAGTAGTGCCAGAGTCCAGCATCCAATCCGATGCATTCACATAGTTCACCTCTGAAGTGATCAATAGAAAAAAGTAAGAATCATCTAAATTATCACCTCTAGCGACCTTCACCACATTGGCCTTTGGGCACTTCTTCTTGCTATTCTCTTTCTCTCTAAGCTTCGGGCAATCTCTCTTCTAATGTTCTTGTTCTTTACAGAAAACACATTGGTTCTTTGTTAATTGGTAGTGGCCTCTCGATTTTGACATGCCTCTATTGCCACCTCTCGGATAGGGACTCCTTCCTCTCGTCGACAATGCCTCTCCTAAAGTGATAGCTCTGAAAGTCTCTTTATCCTTTCTCCTCAAATCGTAATTCATTAACGCATTAGTCACTTTACTATATGTGATGGAATATCTACCGTTCAACAAAGTGAGCACGAATGTATCATACTCTTCATCGGGTAAGGAGCCTAACAAAATAATCACATTGTACTTATCTGTTATCTTCTCATCAACGTTCGCCAAGTTAGACAATAACTTTGTGTAGTTGTTTACATGAT